TGCTATAAAAATTAAATTAAGTATTTCAATAATTTTAGCCTTAAAACGTTTATTTAAGCGAAAAAGTACCGAAATTACAAATTTTTTCATTTTCACTCGAAAAAATCATAATTGTTTTTTTTTATAACTTTGGCTACTTTTCAAATAGAAAAATTCCATTGAGTAAAAGATGACTATGATTTGAGAGACTAAAATTCCATTTTTTTTCAATTTTTATTGGCACACTCGAAATTCATTATAAAATTGTTATATACATGAAGCAAGTGATATATGTGCATAGGAAATTTTGTGTAAAAATCTACCACGCCAATATTTAATTAATTTTAAATAATATACCTTTAAGTTAAGGCGTGCGAGTCGAAGTGTTAGATGACTGAGTATGGTGCTACGGGGCGTATACGTTACATACGCAACTACGGGTATATGAGCACGAGGAGTTATATTTACTTATTTTAGTAGGTATACCCGCATTTCTTTCAAATTTTCATTTAAATACAATTTCGCGTTGGAATCTTGTTTTTTTATACAAAACTGAAGATAATGCATTTTTTAAAACAAGACTGCCTTCATTTTCGACCAAAAACACTTTTTTTCGATAAAGGTAAGAACACGTGAGATTTTCTAATATATTTGCTATCCCTGCGAAACTAATATGGCTGCGTAAACCTGGAGCAACAGCAAGAGCTCCATTAAAATTGGATAAGACCTCTTAGAACTGTTCGCACCAAACGTGGTTTCAAGCAAGGCGGACTACTATAGCCCGACTTCTTTAATCCGATAATGGATAAGATAACAAGAGCTGTATGTAGAACTAAATAATAGATCGGGAACAATGACAACATCCGATGAAGTGTCGCTTAGAACATTCGCACTACATATTTGAGCTTTACACAGCAAATAAATCAATAATTTACAATAAGAACAACTCACTGGCAGAGGCTATTTCGATCGTGGTCAGAATGCCAAGCAAAAGCGGTACAAGGTGGCTAGGAAGTGAAATGAAGGACTGCTTGGTAAAAATACTATTTAGGTATATTGAATGAAGTTGTATATAGTACTATCTGCGTAGTTAAATATGCAAATATTTTAAACCATTATCGAAGAAGGAAAGCATGGAAGTGGGTGGATGAAACTCATGTGGCCAAATGATCTCCACAAAATTCTCAGTAAAGGTCACTAAAAGCTTTCACAGAGCAGGATCTACAGCCATGTACCATATATTCTCCTTCAAATAACCTTAGTTCAACAAAAAAATAACCGACCAAATCAGCAATTAATTATGTCGATAGCTTGCAATTACAAAATCGATGGTTTGCCCATCATGGAGGCTAAGACGCCTCTTTAGATATTGGCAGAGGAGCGGTGAATCGCCCTCTGCCACCTACACACAGTTACTTACATTGCGGTAGTCAAGTGAAATGTAGAGTTGTTTGTTATTTTGAAAGGCTAAATTGAGGATATACATATCTAATACCATTCCAAGGCTCATAAAATTATTTGTATACATTCAGTAGTTCTTAAAAGAATCATCCAATTTCGGTGATTTAATAAAGCCAAATAGTGAGATACGTGCAGTACTGGGTCATGAAAAATATCACTTAAAAATAGGTTATGCTGCCATTAAAATTAAGGTACATACATACATACATACATACATACATACATTAGTATGGTGCCTCTGTATGTGCAAACTTGCAAACAAACAGATGTATATAGTCATAATTTATAAGACTCTTTTGAATATCAGTACAAGTGTTTTTATTTGCATACATGCATAGCCAGTGTTACTACTTTGAAAAAGTTTGCAGCTGCTACGAACATACATACATACATACATACTGATCTTTTGAGTGCAAATTTTAAAATAAGAAAGCGCAAAAAACCGCAAAAATGCAAATAAAAAAATTTAGAACAATGTCAAACAACAACAATGTCCCACACCAAATAGGTTAAATCAATCGAAAAACATCGCATGTGGCACGTGGTTCATTGCTACTAGCTACTTTATAGCTATTTGCTATTTGTCGCCCTTAATCCAGTTTGATGCCACACCGCCTTTGTCATTTCTTGTGGAAGCTTATTCTTGTTTTGTGCCTTCGCCTCGTGGTGCTTTGTGCTACCAAATCGATATGCCTAAGCTATCTTTGACATTCAATGAAGGTCAGTGTCATTTCCTAGGCAAATACATACATATGTATGTATGTAGAAGTTTCAGTTTCCTCATTCGCGGTTTACATCGAAACTGTTGGGTTGAATGAACAAAAAAAAAAACAAGAAAAAAACTAAGAAATTAACTGCAGAGGAATGAAAACCCTTTTCAGATGAGCTGATTAGTTTAAATGTATTCAAAAAAAGGCACAGGGTGACCCAAAGCTCTGAACTTGATTTTCGAGGGATAAGAAGAGAGTGACATACATATAAGCAAGAAAAGGCGAATGTAATCAAAAGTAGATTTTTTTATATAACTAATATTTCATACAGGGTCTGGTGCGTAAATCGAAATTGATATTGTGGATACCCACACCAAAGGCGAAGCTCAAAGGAGGAAGAGGTCAAATAGACTTCGTAAATTCCACTGATAACGAGTTGGCCGAAGGAGGGATTTTATCTTGTGTGCGTTCATATAAAATCTTTAGAAAATCAAAAACATCTTCGACCGGGAATATAGTTTTTTGGGCCATGACTGGTCAATGTAAGGACCAACTCTGTCATAACGAAACCTGTATGTTAATGNGAGTTGGCCGAAGGAGGGATTTTATCTTGTGTGCGTTCATATAAAATCTTGTGAAATCAAAAACATCTTCGACCGCGAGTATAGTTTTTTGGGCCATGACTGGTCAATGTATGGACCAACTCTGTCATAACGAAACCTGTCTGTTAATACTGGCCTTATTTCACCACATATCAGCAAAAATTTGTGATTTCTGGTATCCTGCTGTCGGAAAGAAGTTACTCCCTTGCGATTAGCAAAACCTATTCTATTCACTACCAACGAACTTATTTATTAGCAGTAGAAACCGAGTACAGTGCATGTAAGATGGGAATAGAATTTAGATAGCTGTAAGTAGATATAAAAGAAATGTGGGCTATTATAATCTTCTAAGTAAATGTATTTTGTTGTTGTTTTTGAGACTGCGTACCTACTGGGTTAAAATCAATACTGGCTATAGGATAGCAAACAGCTATTTTATTTAAATAAGTCTCGCCTCTCAAAAGGGTACTTGGTAACCAGATATCTGAACATCCAGTTGAAGAGGATTCTGGACCGACTTCTCTTGCCTCGGATTTGGTTCTAGAACTCACCTTTCGTCAGTAAAAACTATCGTCGGGAAATAGATGCATATTTTACTCAATGATTTCAAATTCGGAAAGTATCTGATTTCATTCAGTATGCATTTAATTTTTATTTTATTTTTTTAATTTTTTTAAATATATTTTTTCGGTTTTTGTGACCACACAAATGGATTCCTTAACGCAAGAAAATCAAAAATATATGTTTAAAACTTGAATAAAAGGACAAGAAAGGAGAAAATTAAAGCCCTCCATTTTTGAAGGTCATCTTAAAAGTCAAAATAATTTTTCTCTCTAACGAAGCTACTTTTCTTGAATTCTTTATCAATTCAGGCTTAAAAAACTGTTACATCTATTTTGCTGTCTGTTCTCATTCTCACAAAAAAGGTCTTTCTCCACACTATCCCCCAAACAAAATCCTAAAAAAGCATAGAAACATTTCTGATATCTCATCACTTTCAAAGACTAGAAGGAATTTCAGGAACTTCCGTATACATACATATAAACAGATATATTTAGGTATAGTCAAGATTGTTAGAACAATCAGTAAGCAATTCCGCAAGTAAATAGTCTAACGACGCGGAGCGAATGAATGAAAAATGAATAGCTGGACCCTAAAATACCAAAAAAAAAACCGTGAATAATAAATCTTTCTCCCTTGGCTAAAAAGTCCCCGAACTACCTTCAATACTCAGTTTGCCACTACAAAAATGTTTACATTGAGTTATTTTACGTAATTTACTTTAAAATTTTCGCATTGACTAAAGCCCATTTTTACAGTGGGTGGCTAACTCTCCGTTGGCAGTAAACATTGAATGGGTAAAAAAATTCATCGATATTCCGCTGCAAAATTTAAGTTAATTGTCGTCTGTGGAAATGACCCTAAGACTAAATAGTGAGATTATTTCAATGGATTAATTTTCAATGCTAAGCAGCCTTAACTTTACCGGATATGACAATGATAATCGAACAAATATATCGTCGTTTAAAGTAGAAAACCGCGTAACTGACATTTGCTGCCAAAAATTCGATTTGCTCACACAAAAGTTCTTGGCTCAATCCTTATCCATTCGTTGTGAAATATACTAGCCAGAAATGCGATTGCTTTACGAACATAAAAAAGAGAAACATCTTAAAATATGAAGGCTTTTACTGTCTAAAAATTATTTATGCAATCTCACATACGCGGTTTTGTACGTTAAACGACGACATGTAAGTATTTCTGTTACAGCAAAGTATATTTTTAGTTAAGTAATTGTTTTTGTATTGCATTGTTTTTGTAAGTGCAAAATTAGCTGGTTGCCACGTGCGATTCTTTTCAATATTTATATCCAGTAATGAACGCGATCAACCAAGCGTGAAAAGGCAATAAAATTAACAGAATTATTCAAAGGGAAGTAAAATGAACGACAGCCACAATTTAAAAAGCAAGTGCTAACTGCTAACTGCTAACGGATGAGAGGCAGCTGAGAAAGGGTAAGACAAAATTAGACATGGCTTGATTTTTCACTTTTCAGTTAAACAAAAAAAACAAAAAAAACAAAGATAAAGTCGACAAAGACGATTTGTAAGGAAGCAAACTTCTGTTCGAGGAGTGGTAACCAGTCCAACCGAAAAGGACTTTCTTAATGAATTATTTGTTCCCCCTTCATTGTTCGCCCTTCTGTATTGTATAGACATTTTTCTCTTTTAGTTACTATACTAATTACCATTCAGATACGAGGCGTGTTGCTTCCACAGCTGCTGCACCTGAAATTGCGTCCAACGATTGTTATCCTCCATGATGTTGTTGCTAATGTTGCTATTGTTGTTGTTGCTGCCAACACCGTTAGCCACATTGGCATTGCCATTGTTGTGCGCAATACCCGCGCCGCTGTTATTATTGTTGTTGTTGTTGTCGTTTGCACTTCCGCCATTGGCATTGCTCTGACCGCCGCCACCGCCGCCACCCGCGCCGCCACCACCAATAATCCCCACCAAGCCATTCAGGCTCAAATTGTTATTGGGTGTTGCTGGATTGTTATTGTTGTTGTTACCACCAGCATTGAGCGCAATCAAATTGGCCGCATTGCCAACATTCGCCAACACATTGCCGCTGCCGTTGCCGAGACCATTGCTGATGTTGCTCATGGTGTTGATGTTGTTCGCCGCCACAGCGACCACAGCCGCCGCTGCATTGTTCACATTCGCCACATTGGNCGCCGCCACCACCAATAATCCCCACCAAGCCATTCAGGCTCAAATTGTTATTGGGTGTTGCTGGATTGTTATTGTTGTTGTTACCACCAGCATTGAGCGCAATCAAATTGGCCGCATTGCCAACATTCGCCAACACATTGCCGCTGCCGTTGCCGAGACCATTGCTGATGTTGTTCATGGTGTTGATGTTGTTCGCCGCCACAGCGACCACAGCCGCCGCTGCATTGTTCACATTCGCCACATTGGCCAAATGTTGCAAGCGATGATGCAACAACTGACTGCTTGGCGGCAAGCTGCCCACCAAATTGTTGCCCAGCGTATTGATCGTTTGCTGCAGCTGTGTATTGGCCACATTTTGCATTGTGTTGCGCAGGTGCAAGTGGACATTGTTGCTCAGCTGGGCGGCACTAACGCTGTTGCTCGCGTTGCCAACGTTACTGCTGCTGTTGTTAATGTTATTGGAGGCATTATTGGAGTTGGACAGATTGCTGTTGGACGAATTGCCGGCAGCAGAGGCAATGCTATTGACGAGATTACTGGTGTTCACCAAATTGCTGCCGAGGCTGGTGAGGTGCGCAGCGGCCATAGCGGATGAATTGGCGGCNTTGTTGCTCAGCTGGGCGGCACTAACGCTGTTGCTCGCGTTGCCAACGTTGCTGCTGTTGTTAATGTTATTGGAGGCATTATTGGAGTTGGACAGATTGCTGTTGGACGAATTGCCGGCAGCAGCGGCAATACTATTGACGAGATTACTGGTGTTCACCAAATTGCTGCCGAGGCTGGTGAGGTGCGCAGCGGCCATAGCGGATGAATTGGCGGTGGCGGAGGAGAGACCATTATTGCTGCCAGTGCCAATGCCACCCGCACCACCACCGCCACCAGCGCTGTTGGCGGCTAGCAGATGTGGCAGATTGTGGACGACTTGTAGCGGCAGTGAGCTGAGCGGTGGCAGCGCCGTTGCGTGGCTGGGCGATTGCAGGCTGCCAAGCAATTGTTGTTGTTGTTGATGTTGCTGCTGCTGCTGTTGTTGTTGCTGCTGCTGTTGCACATGCTGCACATTCTGTAGCAGTTGTAGGTGGGCCTGGTGTTGTTGTTGCTGCTGGTGTTGTTGCTGCTGCTGGTGTTGTTGTTGCTGTTGCGCGCTTTGTAGCGCACTATGCGTTTGATGCGCATGCGCATTGCCGATTTGCAGCGCCTGCGTCAAATACTCCATACTTTTAATTCTGTTCTTCAGCTAATCGACAGTTAGGGGGAGGTGTAATTTCATTCACAAACACAAAATTCTCAGAAGGGCAGGGAAATTGCGGGAACACAAAAGGTTCAAATGCCTCGGCTAGAATATTTTTCTTTAAATATTTCAAATGCACACCACTGTTTTATTCGTGCGGTGCGCTCTGTTTGCTTAGCTTGGCACTACAATTTTTTTCCGCTTTGCAATTTTTCTTTTTTACACTTTTTGCACTCTTTTTGTTGTTTTTATAATTTTTTTCTACTACATATTTCTTTTTTCTCAATTTGTTTGCAATAGTCAGCCGATTGTTTAGCTTGTTTGCTTGTTTGTCTGTCTGTTTGCTTGCTTGCTTGCCAATTCTAGTCTGCATAACAACAACAACAACAACAAGCACTATCGCCACGCGCACACACTTGCTATGGGTACCTGTTGCTGGCCAGCTAGCGTGCGCCTCTCGTCTCTCACTGCTCTGAGGCAGCGTGCAGCCAGCGAAGGAGTTGAAGCTCACGTTCGAGTACTTTTTTTTTATGTTTTATTCTAAGCTTTTAGCTTTTAAGTCACAGACATTTCTAAGGCAATTTGCATTATTATTTGTTTCGTTTTAGTATTTGCATTTATTTCAATGTTTTGAGTCGCTGTGTGTCGCGGGTTTGTCTACCCTATTTTTAATGTTTTCATATTTAATTCGTTAGCCTTGCATATATTTGTACATATTTTGTGACTGCTCTGTCTATTGTTCACTCACATCACGAATGTGCATTCTTTTAAATTTGTAGATCTTCACTTTTACGCTGCCGCTTTAAGCTGAGCTGATGCAAAGGAATGCACAATTTTGTTACAAATTTTAATTTAAACTTTTTTTTTTTTTTATTTTGTTATGCCTTGGCACTCAAATGAGATCCTTTGTGTTCTAGCGTTGCCAAAACCAGCATTTTTGCTTTCCCACTCACTCACAATATCTTCACTGCCGCCGACCTTTCCCTCTCTGTGCTGGACACCTTGGTACTTTTCTTTCAGCAGATTGCTAGGGCCAGGAAAAGCTTAAGTCTCAACTAGTTCATCGGCGAACGCAAAAAAAAAGTCTGACCTTGACTGTGTTCTACTACAAATGTGCATAGAAATCGACACAAAGAACAATCGCTCAATTCGCCCTCGGTTCGCCCATCGATTTGTACGGCGTGCGGTGTGGGAAGATCGCGTGCGGCGAGTTCGCTTCGCCTATTTGTCGCTACACTTATCTCACAATTTGCTTAACTTAGCTGCGGCAATATGTTTCGCCTTAGACTCTTAGACGATTCTAATTTATTGTTTATTTCATTTTGGTCGATATTTAGTTTGGTTTAGCTTTGTTTTCTTTTTATTAGAACTATTCTACTGTCGCTGCGTTCGACACTCGGCGAGGGGCTTTGCTTCGCTTTTGTTTGTGAATGTTGCTTTTTGCTGCCCGATCGTTCTAATAGTTGACCTTTGCGTTTTTGTATTTACATTTGCTTGCTTTCATTGTTTTGTTTTCGAATTTTAAATTTCAGACCGCCGTGGTTTTGTGTGACTGTATTTTTTTTTTACTCGTACATAAAATCACGAAGCACTTTAGAGCTTTAGATGAGATTGAAAAGTGAGGGCTTGCCCACTTTTGCCCTTCCTTCCAGTTGCTTTAAAAAATGTATTTAAAATCTTCACCGAACTTCCTCTCATAGGTATTCTATTTGAGGGAGTAAACAAATCTGGATCTTCAAAAGTCTCAACGAAAGCACAAAGCTATGATAAGAGGAGCTTCTGTAACACGCAATTTAGTGATCAATCCTTTTAAGTGGTTAATAAATTTCAGACACACAACTTTATTCACACAAACTTTTAAGCAAATCTATTACGAATTTTCGAAATTTTTTTTGGCCACTTGGAACATTGCTGATATTTGTCAATGTCTGGCGTCACTTTACCGAAATCGATGTTTCTTCTCGTTCACGTTCACGTTCGCGCTTAAGTGCCGCTCGATATTCCGCGATTTGGACCTGGAACCGGTGTCGCCGGAACGCAAATGAAGAGTGAGCGCACGTTTGCGCACGTCAAACCCACCGAAATTCGAAAAAACCCCATCAACGACGCAAGCGTCGAAAAAAGCCTGAAAGCTGATCGCGATGGCAATGGTTGTGCGGTGGTGAGGTGGTTACGTAGTGGTGCTGCTAATGTCTGCGTTATTGTGGTAGCATGCAAAGTTTGGCTTGCTTTCTGTGCTGTGCTGGCCGCTGCTGGTGACTCGCAGTCTTCGGTTTCTTTTTCCCGCAGTCACCTTTCCACCTTTCCAGCTTTTTTCCGCTTTCGATAGCTTTGCTGCCAGTGTTTGGGGGTTTTGTCTCTTTGCTTTTGCATTTTTCGCTCGCAAATCGCTCATCCATGCAAGCGGTAAGAAAGAAGCAAGCCCGCCAGCAAGCTTGTCTTCTTTGTATGCCTTCTTTCACTCGCTTTGCTCGCTCCACTGCAAGCTCACAACGGTGTATCTCCCCAAGCTTTTGCGCTCCACACAACCATTCGTTACAACCAGTTTGGCATATTAGCTGCAGCAGCGCAAGCAGTCAGTAGTCAGCGTATAGCCAACGGTAAAGCATCACGGTCCGTCGTCGGTTAGGCGTTATTTGCCATTTGCTTCACACTTGGATTCGCATAGCTGCCAAATACTCGTACCTGGGCTATCCATCTAAGCTGTGTGAATGGCTTTGTCGCTTTAAGCCCGTTCCGGTGTCCGATAGGCGTGCTGCTATGTCAGCAAAGTAGCAGCAGCCAAGCGTGATTGTTGTCATTTTACTTGTTGTTGCTTGTGTTTGCTTTTTGCTTGTTTTCGACCCATTCGTGCCTGCAATGCCTCGATCCGCTTCATCCCGCCTCGCTCCTCTAAATCACACACACTGAGGTACAGCGGCACGTATACGCGATTTTGATTTTCCATTTCGTTTTGTCGCCTCATTCGCTCTCAAATTTCTGTTGGTTGGTTGTTGTTGTAGCAATATGCGGAAGCGCATGCCTGATGTTGATTTCTTACATTTGCAAGTATCATTTTTCTTTCTGCATTTGTTTCGCTTTTGCTTTCATTGCTTTTGTCAGCTAACACTTTTGCTTTTGATTTTGTTAATGCTTTCATTGCTATTTTTTTTGGTTTTGACTCTCACTTTTCTGCTAGTTGCTGCGATCATGCCACTGAGCTTATGCGTTCATCGAGTGAGTTTTTTCTCGGTGCAGAGCTTTTTTGAGTGCATTCGACGAGTGGACTGACTTTGCTGAATTCAATTCAGGAAAGTTGCCCGTAAAAGATTTCAATTTGAGCTTCTGACTGAAAACTCAGTATAGATTCTTATAACCTTGATATCAGCCCTTTCCGGATCTAACCGATCCCAATGCTGATTATAAGTTTAAATTGAAAAAAAAAAATATTGTTGAGTTCAAAGCATTTTTAGGGCACACATAAAGCCTAGAAAGTTACAGGTCAACTCTCCCCACTCCAAAAATTTCGTACCTAAACTGTGGGTTAAAATATATATGTCTACTTATTTGTACTTGGACTATTCAAGGATGGCTGAAGCAATCTTTGTTATTTACTAAATTTTTGCTTTGTATTAAACTTTTAATCTAACTAAATCTTGGTCATTATTATCTTTATAGGTGTGAAGGGCAGATTAAGGCACTTTTTTCAACAATCAGGCGGTTTCCTGGCATCTGTATAATGTAGAAAATCCCAGCGACTCATATTCCAGGCTAAGTATTCGGTATATGGCCAAGAAGAGCAGGACCAGCCAAGTCGACTTTTTTATATAATCTGGCTAGATCTGCCTAGGGAGACCGACATTCCGATTTGCCATGGGAATGATGAAACATTTTTATACATGGATTTTTATGTGTATGTCTTTTCGGCGTTGGCCAGTGGACATATCATTTAGTGTTGCCACTGAATCAGATTAGAACCTACCAAAATTTTAGATTTGTACAGTGGCTTCTTAAATGTAAATCAGATCAGAATCAGATCAGAAGCTTCAAATATGAGTTGTTTATTTTTTAAAGTGGCGCTAGTCATTTCCAGCTATTGGTTACTGCTAAATGAATGCATCTGTAAATCGTCGTATTGTCATAAACTAATGACAAAACTTGTTACCTTTGGCTGATGAAGTTGAACGCATAACAAACGGGTGCAGATACAGGTAAATTATCATTGAAATCGAACAGCAAGAAAATGACTTAGGCCACTTTCAAAAGAGACGGCTCACATGTATATTTATGCTTCCTTTTCTTTCTTAATATCGCATCTTAACCAATTTCTTGATATTTGCTCTTCTTTATAGCAGAAAAGTCTACCTTACCGCTCCCGCATTTTCCAGCTAACTCCTTAGCACTTATGCATATGGTCTCCGAAAACGGTTTAAAAGTCATCAATATATATAATCAATTTAGTAGCAACAGCTTTCGCCTCTGCCCCCACTAATCATTATGTTTACTGATTAATTACTTCCGGAGGCAAGCATTCTTTCACCAAGATTAGGTGGTGATCGCTTCTCATTTTACGTATGCAGCAGACACACGTACTAGGTCTAGGGGACCAGGTTTAGAGTATCTCCCTGGATAGACTTGTTGGAATACTAGTGTAGTATAATTCACTTTTAATGCGAGTATCAAGCAATCAAACATCTAAGCACTTCAAAAGCTTGGAAGTATGAGAGAGCCAGAAAGAGAAAGGGATATAGAAATGTGCAGGAAAATGGACGGATGGGTAGAGTAAGATGCAGCCTTTCTACCATTTATCTATTTGGTGAACCCGTTAGGGGCCCTGCTTAGCCGCCGTGGACATCTGTGTATTGAGCTTTGCTATTTATTCAGGGTAAGGGAAGGCATTCACAGCCAATAGCTGCCGCATAAATAATAATTTTACCTTCGCTAAAAGGCAGACCAGCAAATTTTATTCTCTTTCTTGGAAAGCCTTTAGATGAAAGATGGTTAGC